ATAATTTAAGATGCATTTTAACATCGCTTCACAAAATATCTTCAAAATATTAGGGTAAATCATTATTTTATTGTATTTACAATAATGATTCTTTGTTGAGCTGCTTTAAACAAAAATTTAATTTTTTGCTACCATCCCTTTATACTCTAAACTCGTACCTACTTTTGATTTTCAAATGGTAACCCAGATATTTTTTTATATCATCAGATTATTTGATTTAAAGAAAAATATGTTATTATCAAATTTGATTAAATTTTCAACGAGTACAACTGTTAAACGGTGATTAGAAAAAGCATATCTACTCGTTTTTTAAAGTCAGCAACATTAATGTCTTATATTGATAAACGTTAACGGTTCATAGAAAAACGATAAATTATAAAAGTAACATAGGTAGGTTTGTTTTAATTTGTTAATAACTTTCGATGATACACTAACTGTAAATGTTAGTACTTAAATCTGCCATAACTTTTTGAAAAATGAATGAAACAAAATAATTTTTTTATATTGAAACTTTAGGTATTTTTCTTTAATTTGGTATAATTTTTTTTTTTTTTAATTTGATCCTTTACTTGCCTACAGGACAAATAGCAAATTTTTCACAAAAGTCAATTTTTTCAGCTTAACTTTTAAAAATATTCCGGGAATATTGCGTTCTTTAAACATTTAAAATTAAGCTTATGTTACGTACTATAAAATTACTAAAGTATTATTACAAATAAACTCCAGCACAGGGGGGTCGCGGCACAGTGGTGCCGTGGTATAGTTGAACCAAGTATAATGATANCGTGGTATAGTTGGATCAAGTATAATGATATCTGACAGTGATTAAAATCACTATCAAAAATAAACGCTTCGATGCAAATCTTTAGATAGTGTTTAATTTTAAAAAAATTGGTGTTTTATTCCAAAAGCTACATGATCTGCTGGTTCCTTATTAATATCTCGATTAATATAAAGTATGTCGAATGAAAAAGGGTTTATTAAAAAATATTATTTCTCATAAAAAAATTGTGTGGATCCATACACTTTTCAATAAGTTATAGCATTATAAAGTTAAATATAATATAAAAAATAAAATCGAGAATTTTCACACGAAAATAGCATTCGATAGCCATTTTCACCATGAAAACAAGTCCAGAGGTCAAATTTTTTTTTTTTTTAATTAAAGTATATTATATTAGCTTTAATTTAAGATATATATAAAAGTCTCAGACCTTCCGGAAAACTTTCAAAAGTTAAGTTGAAAAAGTTGTCATTTCAAATCCCCCACTGTGGGCAGATAAAGGGTCAGATTTACAAAAAAAATATACCAAATACATAGTAAAGACATCAAGCATCTATATAAAAAAAAATTATATTGATATGTTCATTTTTGAAAGAGTTGCGGCACATTTTAGTAAAAAAAATTTTAAAAATTCCGAAAATTAGCGATTTTTAAATTTGTAATTTTTTTGGAGGTTTCCCCCATTTACGGGGAACGAGGGAAATTTTTTCAATTTTTGAGAGTAATGCCTTCGACTAGATACGATTTGTGATCTTTTGACGTATCATTGAAAGAAATCTGTTCGGTGAGAGCTGAGAAAAAGTGGTAATAGACACAAAAAAAAAAAAAACACATCTTAGTAAAACCAATACCTTCTCAGCTTCGCATCGAAGCTAAAAAATTCTATGAACAAATGGCTTCAGTAGTTAAAAAAAACATGCTATTTTTATATTCAAAGTTTTTTTTTGTTTATTTTAAAATAACTTGTAAGGGTTTGCCATATTAATGAGTACAACAATTTTTATAAAAATTACATGAATCTAACTTACATTAAAAATAAATTTAAACTTATTTTGATTATTTTACATTCTCAAATTTAAGAAAAGAGACTTTGAATTTACGAACTAGCTTAAATATTCCTTTTTATTGACTTGTATGTGTAATGCACGGTATCTGTGACGAATAAAATTCGGTATTATACCATCGGAGTACGAATTTCGAACCACATCAGTCAAAATAACTAATTTTGCTTTTTTTTCTTAATTCTTTTCTGAGGTGAAAATTCTAGCAATTTAATCAAATATCTAAAAAATATTATACTGTAAATAATAGCCACTAAAAAAAAACTTTTTATTATTAAATACCTCCAAATTAGAATTATAAAATTTGTTTTTATACTGAATTATACTGTAAAATTATATAACTAAAATGAAATATTTTTTTATTGATCATAGATAAATATATAATTAATCTATTACATTAAACCAAATTATTACGCTGGTTGGTACCAAATTATTCAAATCTGAAATTAGATTTTTTCTATTATCTTATTTTTAAGATTATTACTAATTTAAAAGTAAGCATGTACAAATGAAAATTTTTTTTTATCGAGTTATTATTAATTTTAATTATTTTAAAAATAATCCATGCAAAAATTTCAAATCTAGTATAGCTTATAGTCGTTTAATTGATTAATCACCCTTGTGATTCGTTGTGGTTATAGAACTGCTATAACCATCTATGCCCTTGTGCATTTCGTGTAAAATTGTCTGCATGACTCCCCACATTGTTCGATTTGGTGTCATTCAATCTCGATACTACGATTCAGTCTGTTATTGAATGAACCACCAGCCATCAAATTAATAGGTAGATAGTATACATTATTTGTTAATCGTCTTAGTTTCATTATTTTGTTTTAATATATTGCATTTTGTGGCATGTACATATTAAGTGACCCTCCAATCCACTATTTTATGATACTTTATATTTATTGTCATTTTAATATATAATCCTTGTTTTGTAATTCTTATAATTTTATCTAGTGTAAATACCATCCTCAATCTCATATACAGTCCAATCCCTAATTCTTTGTCCTGCATGATGATTATAGACAACGAAACGAACGTTAACTAATCCGCACGAGTATTATGAGTATNTGTCATTTTAATATATAATCCTTGTTTTGTAATTCTTATAATTTTATCTAGTGTAAATACCATCCTCAATCTCATATACAGTCGAATCCCTAATTCTTTGTCCTGCATGATGATTATAGACAACGAAACGAACGTTAACTAATCCGCACGAGTATTACGAGTATTATTAGTCCCGTTCAAAAAAATTACTTTCTCGCCTTCATTTGTCCTAGCCTATCATACAAATCATCATGCTTCTTAAACTTTTCCTTACTTACTGCACACTTGGCTTCTTTACACAACCGTTTATACTCCATCCAATCTTCTCTCCTTTTGTTCTTCTGACATATTTTTAATTGCTTATTCTTACTTTCTATGATTTCTTGAACGTCCTCATCCCACCACCAGGTTTCCTTGTTTCCTGGCATTCTACTCCTACTCTCACTAACTATCTCCTTTGCAGTATTCTTTACACAACTAGCAAATCTATTCCACACATTATTTATGTCTCCCTCGAAATTTCACACCATCCTTTTTTTTTACTGTCTTTACAAATTCTTTTTCGTTTTCTCCCGTGTTCCTTCTGTTTTTGTATATTCTCTTCTCGGTACACCACAACACCATTACCATCAGTCTATTTTGTGAAGTTACACTCTCGCCTAGTATAAATTTACAATATTTTACACGCTTTACGCTCTCTCTCTTCCACATAAAATAATTAATCTGTGATCTATTACTACCACTCTTATAAGTTATATAATGTTCTTCCCTCTTTCTAAAATAAGTATTTTTACTAATAAGTATTTTAATTGTTAGATTTTCGGCGTATACATTAACGTGATTATTATTAATAGTAATAATTTATATATGTCACAACTAAACTAAACTAATATCAAATATATTTTTAATAATTACTTCTTAGAATTATTTTTTATTAATTAAGGCCAGTTTTTCTTAATTAAATTCCCATAACTGTGAATCGTTACTGAACAATTCTTCAAATAAAATACACTGATCATTAATAGTACATCATTATAGGTAGAATATTTTTTCTCGTTGTTTTCAAAACAATATACTAATTAAAATTTTTTTATCTACGCAAGAGAAAGAGTACAGTCAAAAAATGACAAGTGATAAAAATAACAACACCCACGTTTCACCTCCAGCCATTACTATAAAATTTTAATAACCTCTGAAATACTGGTCCAAAAATTAGTATCGACCAGTCATTTTCTTAATTAGATTATTTCCTATTTTATAAGTTAGTTACAAATGTATATTGCCATTTAGAAAATTAAGTTGACACTCTTATAAGTCCAATGGATGATTCTAAAATGTAACTAATAGCTGATAAATCAAAAAATATATGTAACTAAAACAAACCAAACAATTTTTTTTGTAAGACCCTTAGTTGGACATAATTAATTCAGGAAACACATTATTTTAGTCCCTGGTTTAACCCTTTATAGTATAGTCACTTTAATTGTTAATAATAGAAATTCATACTTAGAAAAATTCTTTAATTTCAGTTTAAAGCGTCAATAAACATTTTTTTAGGCTGAAGAAAATATAAAATGAATGAGTATTTTTCAAAGCAATTATTTTAATTTTATATTATTTGATAAAAAATGAACTTTAGAATTTAGTTAGTGTACTTCATAAATAAAAATATAAGCGTTTATTTAAAATATTAGAAATTTGAGTATAACAGGATAGAAGTTTCACAATTTTTTTATGTCTCTAAAATGTCGCATGAAGTCCTAGGTATGCAATTGTTATGTACAAGACAGCTAGACCGTAGGACGGTGTATATACAGTTCCTCCAAAATAATTTCTTTACAAATATTTTCCTCGGAAATATTAGTTTTTTAAATATTTACGGAGATATTTTCCCAGTAAAATTTTTTTTACAGTAATACGCTTCTGAAAAATACCAAACCTATCATTTATGATTCCTTTTAAATAACGATTTTTTTAATATCATTTTATCAGATATTGTTCTATAATAAACATTCCGTATAATCACAGATAAGATAAAGCTTTATCTTATCTGTGGTATAATTTAATTACTGATAAATATTTTCCTGGTTCGTATAGCCCTAGATTAAAATTTGTTTAGAGTGTAATATTTATTTTGTGCGCTACTACTATTAGTATAATTAGCTGTTTTAGACATTAAACAGTTTAAAAATATTACTATAAGTTATTGAACGAGCTTATCAAATTTAATTACACATTTTTAATACATCACGGGTTATTTTAAGAATTTTACTACTGATTATTAAAAAATATGAATTTTTTTTAATAAAACTAGTTGCTAGGTAAAAAAATTTTAAAATGAATTTTTTCATAAATGCCTTATCAAATTTGAGTTCATGGATGCCCACCAGTGTAATTGGACTGACTACTGCTATTGGTGCTGCAAATTATTATTATTATTTGGTTGTGAAAGTAAGTCAAGCATTTGTAATAATCGTAATTAAAAATATTAAGAATACAAAATTTAGAGCAATTTGGTGATAATTATTAAAAGAAAAGTTATTTTTTTAAATAGTTATAAATTATAATTTAGCACCTTTTTTTAATCTTAAAAATAAAAATTATTCTGTAAACCATATTCCTGTACTTAAAAAACGAAATATGATTTATTTCCTTAGTTTTACTAATTCAATGAACAAATAATTGTAATTATAAAAAAAGTAATTAATGCAATTTGCTAATGTTTTGAATAAAACATTTTTTAATTAATTTTATTACATATCTAACTAATTATATTTTCCCAAATTGAAATAGTTTTAATTCAATTCATTTAATAACTGTATATCTTACATAATATTGTATATTCTATACTATAATAGGTTAAACATTTGATTCAAAATGCAGTTGAAAATTTTTATTATAAAATAATTAAACGTCAGTATTATAAATATTGAATAAATTAGTTGTGAAACTACATTTAAGTTGTTTAAGAGCTCTAATATAAACAATTTTTAATTAGAAGCCAAAAGTTTATTGCAAAGAAGGAAGATTCAAAACATTTATTTATCAAAATATGCCTGTCATCAATAAAAAATATTGGCCTACTTTTTGGTGTTATGAAGCAAGATTACAGAGTATAGTTTCAGGGTATATAAGATCATTAACTGTGCCTAAAATTCCATTTAAAAGGTACTTTTATTTTATTTGATAATAACTTATTTTGTTTTTTTGTAATGGGAATTTAATTTTAACATTGTTTATGAATATATTTCTTAATTTACTTTTAGGGAACTTTTAAATCTTCATGATGGTGGTCAAGTAGCAATAGATTGGTTGGAACCTGCAAAAAATGCTAATAATAATCATTTTACAATTTTGTTTTTACCTGGATTAACTGGTGATAGTGATTGTGAATATGTCAAAGCTGTGTCTTTATCAATCCACAAAGCTGGTTTTCGGTTAGTGGTTTTCAATTATAGAGGAATAGGAGGAATTCAACTAAAGGTTGTTTTTTTGAGAATGTTATTAATAAAGGCAGAAAAATGTAGTGGGTTGTGTAATATTTTGTTTATTATGTATACTATTTTGTTTTTGTAATCTCTCGTGTGTTAAACGTTATTTTTAAAGTTTTTTTTAATGGAATCATACATATTTAACTAGCTTGTAAAATAAAAAAAATAAAAATTTCAAATGATAAAAATAGCAGCTCGTGTGCCTGATCTCCATTTAATACTTTAAATAGTTAATAACTTCTGAAATACTGATCCAAAAGTTGTTATTGAACAATCATATTCTAAATTACATTATTTTCTATTTTAAAAGCTAGTTAAATATGTATATTTTCACTAAAAAAAAAACCTAGCACAGTGTCGAATTTTTGTCCTTATTTAACCATTAGCTCTTATTTGATCTCATTGTCAACCTTTACAAAACTACTTTTTTATTGAGAGATCAAAATAATACATAACAAACATAGATATATAATAATCATTTATTTGAATTTTATTTTTGACAATTGTAGATACTATTTGTTAATTTTAAAATAGAATTTAAATTTAAGTTTGCTTTTTACACAAAATAAAAAAATGATATATAATAATATGATCATTATTATGTCTGCCATGAGTATATCATATCATGTATAATTTTAGTAAGTTTAATTAAATATCTTTATAGACACCTAGAAGTTACAGTGCAAACAATATTGAAGATTTGTTAGAAGTTATCATTCATATAAAACATAAATATCCGAATACAGTTTTAGGAGGCTTAGGCATATCTATGGGGGGGTGAGTTATCTGTTAAAGTGTTTAATTTGAAATTTCTTATTCATAACATGTTTATTTAGATTGATATTGGGAAATTTTTTGCAATCAAAAGAGCAACATACTTATAAACATTTCATGGCAGCAATGATTGTTTCAGTGCCATGGAATTTAAATTCAACTGTAAAAAATATTGAAAAACCTATCATTAATTATTTAATAACCAACTATTTAGCTAATTGCCTTAAAAAACAAATAAGGGAGTAAGTATTTAGTTAAACAATTCATTTTTGTTTTAATTATACGAATGCTTATAATTTTTTAGCAATCGTGGGATACTAGATTCTTCAAACTACAAGTGGAATTATGATGAAATTATGAAAGTATAGAAACATACGTATTAATAAAAAGTTACTTATTAAGAATTATACACACAATTTTCTCTCTTTATTTATTTTTCTAATTAATATAAAAAATTTTTATTATTTATATACTAATATATGGAGTGTTCATTTAGTAAAAAAAGAGGTTTTTTATTGTTCTTATTGTTTGAAACAATTGACCTGTTTCCTTATTTACTGATTAACCTGTATACAATGTGTCCCTTTGTAATTTACTAGAATTTTAAATTTGCTTTTCTCTTATATATTGCTAAAATTGATTTATGCTATTAAAAAATAGTTCTAAATTAATTTATTTTACATTTTAACTGAATTTTATGCAAAAATTACTTTCAAAATGACATTGGTCTACCATTTTTTAAACTTTTATCAATTTTCGAATGAATTTTTAGTTATGAGTTCAAATTAGAGACTAAACAGTTTTTAATATCCCATTTTTTTTTTTTATAGAGCAAAACTATAAGAGAATTTGATAGAAATTTCACTATAAAAATGTTTGGCTACAATACAGTAGAAGAATATTATGATGCCGCGTCATTACATGATAAAATTGATCGCTTTCAAACTCCATGCTTATTCCTTAGTGCTGAAGATGACCCATTTGCTCTAAAACAAGGTAAAACAAGTTAAAAAAATTATAATTGAATTTAAAGTATATAATACCGGGCCTTGATACTGTTTTTATAATGTTTAAGATGTACAAAATAAACAATGAAACTGTAAAATGTACATCAATTATACCAATAAGTTTTAGATAAAAATAACATTAAATATACAATAAAAAAAAAAAAAAAACAACAAATTTAAATAAAAATATAATAAAAAAAACCCATCTCAGTGAGGTCGTGGCACAGTGGGGATATGGCATAGTTAGAACTAGTATAGATGATATCTGACAATGATTTAAATCACTATCATTAGAAACGCTTTGATGAAAATCTGTAATTAGTGTTTAATTTTATGAAATTGGTGGATTTATCAAAAGCGAAATTCTAAATAAAAAAAAATTAAGGAAAAATTACAAAAAAATCATTGCCACAGACAATGACTTTTAATGAATCGGAAAACGTTTGTTGCATTCGTTTTTTATAAAGTTGGCAATTTAAGCTAATACAGAGGTTAAAATTAATTTTTTTGAATGAAAAGAAAAAAAAAATTTTAATAAGTTTAACTTTATATTTTGTGTCAATTAGTTTTATATAATCATAAAAATCAGTGTACCTCCATTATAAGGTATATTAAAATACAATACCATGAATTTTAACACAACAATAGCATATTTTTTGGAATATGAGAACCATTTTCACTATATCTCGACATTTTTTTTTATAATATATTATATTGCATAAGCTTTAATTAAAGAGTAAATAAAAAAGTCAATATTTCCTTAAAAATTTTCAAAAATTGAATTGAAAAATTTTAACTCGTGTGTAAAAATTATTATTTTAAATCCCCCCTGTGGTCAAGTCAAAAGTCAGATTTTCAAAAAATGTATATCAAATGAAAGAAATAAACATAAAATATTTATGAAAAAATAATTGTATTTATCCATAAATTTTTCAAATAGTTATAGTAATTTAAAGTTGAAAAAATAAAATATGATATCGTAAATTTTAACACCAAAATTACATAAATTTTTTATCTACGGCAATCATTTTCACATAGTAGATACGACGTCGGGACAAATCTTTTTTTTGAACTTATAGTACATAAAATTATCATATTTTCACATATGTTTGAAGTTCGGAGTATTTCTGGAACATATTCAAAACTAAAGTGAAAAAGTAAAATTTTTGTGCAGAAATTGCTAATTCTAATCCCCCCTATGGGCAGATATAGGGTCAGATTTAAAAAAAAAATGTATATCAAAAGAAAGGAAAATGTCTTAGGATTTATTTTTAAACCTTAAAAAAAAAAAAAAATAAATATAGTTTAAAAAACGAAAAGTATTAGTATTATTGTGAAATAAAACAAGTTTAAAACGTAAATACATATAATAAATAAACGTAAAATATTTGTATTATTGTTTTAAGCTTATTTTAAAAATTATTTTTAACTTTTCAGTTCAATGTTATTTAAAAGCAGATTTTTTTTCTAATTTTTTTAAACTATATTTATTTGTGTTAAAATTCTGAGTTTTGTATTTTATTTTATTTTAAAATATATTACAATGGGAATACACTGATTTTTATGAATATTATATAATTAAAATTAAAAATTAATTTGACATAGAATAAAGTTCGTAAGATTAAATGTAAAATTTATTACATTTTTTTGCATTTTTAAAATCGAAAAAGTAACTTTCAAATTTGTATCAGTCTAAATGGCCAATATTATCAATCAACGAAAGCAACGGACAGTTGCCAAATCGGTAACACTTGAGTCTTTCAAGCTTTGGGTATGAGGTTCGAATCCGCATGTGGAATTTTAGATTTTGTATTTTTTTTTAGTTAAAAAAAAATGTTTAAATCATTTGATTTTTATATCATTTAAATTCAATAACTTCAATAAATATCAAGGTTCCCACCACTGTAGTCTCCCTTCGTGAGAAGAAATTTCTTATTTATGTTAATATTATTTTCCTATGTGGTTGGGTCGGTTTGGAAATACTTACATTTTTATATACATATCTTATATTAAAGCTAATCTGTTATAATTTATTATGGAAAATAAAAATTTCGGACATTTATTTTGTCTTCGCGGTGAAAATGGCTACCAAATGCTATTTTTGTGTGAAAATTCTCGATTTTATATTTTACATTTTTAATTTTATATATATTTATATTTATAATATATAATGGAAAATGGTGTTATTTAAAAAAATAGTATGTCGAATAAAAAAGGGATATAAATATTATTTCTCATAAAAAAATTGTATTCATCCATACATTTTTCAAAAAGTTATAGTATAATAAAGTTAAAAATGTAAAATTCAAAATCGAGAATTTTCACACAATAATAGCATTCGGTAGCTATTTTCACCGTGAAGATAAAATAAAATCCAAAATTTTTTTTTCGATGATAAAGTATATTACATTAGCTTTAATTTAAGATTTATATAAAAGTGTCAGACTTTCCGGAACATTTTCAAAAGTCAAGTTGAAAAAGCTATTTTTTGTAAAAAGTTGTCATTTTAAATACCCCCTGTGGGCAGGTAAAGGGTCAGATTTATAAAAAAAAATATACCAAATGTACCAAAATAATGATATCATGCATCTATATAAAAATAATTATATTGATTTGTTCATTTTTAAAAAAGTTATGGCAATTTTAAGTAAAAAAAAAATTGAAAAAATTACAAAAATTAGTGATTTTTAAATTTGTAATTTTTTTGTCGGTTTCCCCCATTTACGGGGAACGAGGGAATTTTTTTTCGATTTTTGAGGGTAATGTCTTCGACTAGATACGATTTGTGATCTTTTGACGTATCATTGAAAGAAATCGGTTCGGTGAGAGCTCAGAAAAAGTGGTAACAAACACCAAAAAACACATCATAGTAAAACCAATACTTTCTCAGCTTCGCATCGAAGCTAATATGTCTAACATTAACGATTTTTAAATTTGTAATTTTTTTGGAGTTTTCCCCTGAAAAAACACTTTATTAAAAAAATTTATGTTGATTTGTTAATTTTGAAAAAGATATTGAAATTTTAAGAAAAAAAGTGAAAGAAATGACAAATTTACTGATTTTAAAATTTGTATTTTTTTTTTTTTTTTTGATATTTCCTCATTTATGGGGAACGAGGGAAATTTTTTCAATTTTTAAAGGTAATATCTTCAACTAGATACGATTTCTGATCGTTTGACGTATTGTTGAAAGAAATTGGTCCAGTGAGAGCTAAGAAAAAAAAACATATTATTGCATGTTATATTATAACATTTAACATATAAAAACATATTAATACCTTCTTAGCTTCGCATCGAAGCTAAATATAAAAAATTACAATAAAAAATGTGAGTGTTTAAAATTTATAGTGTCTTGGGTTAAGTAATGTATTTTTTGAATATATAAAGTATAAAATAAGTTTATATTTGATATAACCAGTATTGGACTGGCATGGGAGCAATTGCTCTCTAGACTGTTTTCTATAAATCGATGAGTCTCTAAATAGCATATTAGGTCCGGCTTTAATTATAAAAATAATTAAAAATGTGTGTATATGTACTGAATTTTCATATTTAAAAAAATTAAATGATAGATTTTAATTACAGTAGGAAATTCTAATGTAAGTACAGAGTATTATGAAATTTTTTGTAGATTTTGTATTTTTTTGAGTTATATAATCATTTTTGTACCCCCAAAGCCTTTGGCTTCATTCTACGACCCTAATTATAATAATTCAAAATAGAATTCCAATAGATATTTATTTATTTTACTATAGTAATAAATTTACGTGAATATGCTATTAATCTATAGAAAAGTGAATAAGTATTAACCTTAAAAGTATTAACCTTTCTTATCTTTTGTTCTATAGTAAGCATTAATATACAATACATTTATATTTTATATCTATGCTAATTGGTAGATAACTATAGACAAGTAAACTAATAGACTTGGAACGATATAACATGTAAATACACCTTTTACGTATGTTACGTTAAAGCTAACATGGCTTTTTCGTAGGAAGTTTTTTCATGAAACATTTGCTTATTTTACGGTAATTCTATGTAATATTTTGAAATTTATACTTAAAAAAACTAAAAATATTGTAATAACTAGTGGTAGGAATTATTTGTATTTATAAACTTTTTTAATACACTTATAGATCACTCAGTGAGTATAACTTAGTTGTATAATTGTATAAAAGAGCAAAAGTATATTTCGTTTAGGATGCCATTAACCCCCCTTTTTTTTTTTGTATCCTCGACCGGCATTATTGTGAGCCGCCCTGGAACTGCCGTGAGGCGTTACTTAAAACGGCCCACGCTGTCTTAATAATTCACACCACCACGTTGTGAATCAGCCCGAAATTAATCAAGAGCTGATTCGTAACGTGGTGTCGCCCCCACCCGTTAATCGGATCCCAGAGTGGGAACCGTTAAGGAGGGTTGGCAAAATAACTCACAAACAAAAACAAATCACAAAAGCAAGAACAAGAACCTAAGACACCGACTAAAACTAGCGCCTTAGGTCCTCCTGTGCCGGGTGGCGTGGCTGCTTCTGTCTCAGACGTTCCGCTTCCTTCTTTAACAAGACGGATTCGGCGAACGCCTGGACGAGCGTCCACGCCTCCCGGGTCCTCAACATCAGGTCCACCATGGACCCGACTCGGAACGTGGATCCTAGTCGAAACTCCAAAGAGTCCTCTTCCTGGTCTCACGCCTCGCACCGGAAGAGGGTTTGCAGAGCGCTGTCAGCCTGTCCCGGGCGATCCGAACAGTGGTCACACGTCGGCGCGGCTGCTTTACAAATAAGGTGTAAGTACTCGTTAAAGCAGCCATGGCCGGACATAACTTGGGTGAGACGATAAGTCATCTCACCGTGAGTCCAGTCCACCCACCTGTCCAGCCGATCGGGTCCTATGAGGGACCTGGACCACTCGCCTCTCGTCGTTTCCTCCGAGAAGCGAGTCCACCTGAACGCCAGCCGGTCCTCGCGTTCTTAGCGGAGATCATGCCCGGCGACGCGTTCCTCGGCGAGCAGGTCGGTAGGCGGCAGTGACGACAGGATACCCGTCGCCACTCCGGACACCGATCGGTACGCCGAAACTGTCCTGATCGCGGCCCGCCTCTGCACCCTGAGCAGGGCTTCACGGTTTTTGGACGAACACTCAAGAGTATCCCCCCAAACCGGGGACCCGTACAGGAGGACCGAGTGTACGACGCTAACTAAAAATCTGCGCCGCATCTCCCTCGGCCCTCCCAGATTGGGCATGAGTCCCGCCTGGCAATTCATGACTTTCTGGGCCTGCTGGGCCGCACGAGTTATATGCGGCCCGAACTTTAGACGTTTTTCTATGACAAGGCCCAGATAAGTCATGGAGTCCTTAAGCGGGATCTCCACCCCCAGCACGGCGAGCCGTGGAGGAGTGAACTTGTACATGCCCGTGAACAAGACCGCTTCGGTCTTGTCCAGGGCGAGGCTCAGTCCACTCCCCTCCTGCTGGATCCAGGCGGTGACTGCGCTGAGCGCGCAGTTCGCACGAGATCCAGCCTCCTCAGACGAGGCGCTTTCGGCCCCCACCAGCGTGTCGTCCGCGTAGCAGACGACGTGCACGTGCGGTGGTAGCGGAATGCCATTAACCCCTAATCCTTTCTAAAATTATTAACTCAGTAATAACACATTACTAAGTTTTCAAGTCAATTATTAAAAATTCGTACTGACAGATGGTGTGTTCAGAATAACTTAACAAAATTTATAAATACATATAATTCTCAACCTTAATAATAACAATAATATATAAAATATTACTTTGAGGGCGCTTAATCAGAGAATTTTATTTACAAATTCTTTGTTCTATACTCGAGTGCACAAATAGGTTTCATTTAAACTGTGGTTTTTATAAGTTATTATAACCAATTATCAGATATAATAAACTATTTCTATGTTTTCATATAATGATTAAAGATATACTTTAATCGTGGTTCATATTATTAAGTTTAACAAGTTAATATAAGATCAATATTTTTTTACAATAATTGCTATCATTATCGCGTATTATTATACAAAGCCAATTTTCATATAATGTCACATAAATATGAGCAATTAGTACAATTAAATCTGCTAAGCAATAGTATGGCTGTGTAATTTGACTTCTTCGTGAAATATATAACCATTAACAGTTAACTTATTTGATATTTACGATTAAAATATTACATTTTAGATATTCCAACATCCTTAGCCTCTTCACTTGAAAATGTTGCAATTTTGGTAACTGCAAGAGGTGGGCACATTGGGTTTCTGGAAGGTTCTTGGCCATTCTCAAATAAAAGTGAATTCATGATGCATACAATCAATCAGTACTTTAATGCCATTTTTAATGATAATAATTACAATAAATTTATTTGATTTCTTTACTTATATGATTATCTATTTAAAATATGTAAGGATAATTGGATAAATATACATGTATAATTAGTAATGATTCAAATAAAAAACTAGATTTATCAATAAAAATATCTAATTAATTTAAAAAGAATTTTAATACCTAAATATATAATGATTCGCATTTAGGAAGTAGTTTTAAGAGGATAAGAGATAGCTTCCCCGAAAATTCTTAAAGGCGAATTTCAATATTAAAGGGCAAAATATTGCCTACCTACACTCGATTAAAAATAATATTTTGAATCTAATATTAGTAGTTATATTTTACATTTTCATTTTAAGATTATCATCAAAAGTAAGTTCTATGAAAGCTTATGGTGACGAGAAAACAATTGTTGACCTTTTTTTTTTTGAACTTCAATATTTTTTTAATTGCGTTTATGATATAAATAAAGAACGCCAAAATTGATTAAATCACACAAATCTCAAATACGGCCCAGGATATTGTAGTAAAACCTTTAAAATATTAATAATGACATTTAAAAACCAACATTTACAACACACAAATTCATCAAATAATACTAAAAATTTGAGTAGAGTTAGATTTGAGTAGATATTATAATATAATACAGTGACGCCGTAACTGAGGGGCAGGAGCATCTCTGAGAAAATCATAAGAAAAGAAAAAGGAAGCGTAGTCAATCTTGGCACGAATAATAGAGTTAAAAATTAATAAAAGAAAAGAGGGGTAATATCCCTAAGATGTCCCAGTAATACAACGGAGAAAATTAGACCAACGCGATGCAAAAGATAAAAGGAACTGGAAATGAGGAACTCATCTTAACTTAGTTTCTAAGTTAAGTCTTAAGTAAGTAACAGTATTGTAGGGGGATATTAAATGACCATCTAAAGTGACAATGGGGATAGAAAGAGGTATATGTTTTCTAGTAAAAATGATAAATTAACTCTTTTCAGGAGCTGTGGTAAAGTAAGAAGAGAGGAGGTTTTGGTAGAGTATGGACAAGAAGCCGTTAAGATTAGCTACACCGTGATCAAGTGAAGTAAAGGGCATAGTTAAAAGATTGAATGAATTGTGGGTAAAAAAAGATTTGGTTGTTAATTCTTCGTGAGAAAGGACGTAAGATGGTGCCATTTAATTACAAAACGAAGGAAACTGGGCGACGATTAATGCAGTTTTTTAATTTTTTGGCAGTAATCCAAAGCTTTTGATAGATGTAGAGGGGTTAAGGGAAGAAAATATGATTGCCAAGCATTTTTTTTTTTTGCATATTATAGAGTGCGAACGGTGGAAAATCGTATACGTTGATAAGCGAGAAAGTCAGAAATCGAACCAGAGAATCTGTACTGGTAGAAAGAAAAGGAGTGTTCATTAACAGCAGGCATTCGTGTAGAGTTCAATCAAATAGGGGAAGGAGATCATAATGTGATAAGGGAGAAGAAGAAAGACAAAAATTGGACAAATAAGCAGCGTTGTAGGCAGAATGTAAGTCAGCTTTGATAAAGTTAAATTTAAGTGGTGAAATGGTGGGAGAAGGGTCAACTATGTGATTAGATAGGGTTATTGCATAGGAGATAATAATAGGAAAATGGTTGCTACTGTAAGTACAGTCTAGGACGGCCCAAGATAAAAACCAGGATAGAGAAGGAAACGTGATCGATATATCAATGACTTTGTCTTCATAAGGAGGATGATTTGCAAGAGTCGGAAAGCCATTGTTAATAATCCTTAGACTAAATGAGGAAATTGAAGGGAAAATTATATTATCACGATGATTACTGTCAACGGAGCCCCATGCGGGATGATGCCCATTGATGTCGCTCCCTATAATGGAATTAGGAGAAATTAGACTGAAAATAGAATTGATAATAGAGAGAAAATGGTTAGGGGAAGGGAGAATATATAAGAACCAGAGAGAAATAGGTGAGGTAGAGTTTGAAAAGGCGGTAATACCAACCAAATCAATATAATGATTACGTAAAGAGCAATTAAGATTATCATTGATTGTAATCGGATTAATTTGTATAGACTGATGAGCTGTAATGGCAACACCACCATAACCACCGTGTCTGACGGCTCGTAATATATTGAAATAAGAAAGGGAAAATTTGCGGTTGGGTAATAGCCACGTTTCAGAAATATTGTTAATGGCCATAATTTTTTTGATGTCCTTTTGATTGGTCCATTCGGCGCAGGAACGATCGTTGGAGGGGTGGTTCAATTTACAGAATATACATGACGATGGGGAGGTTGTTTTGTCCGGGCATGTAGAGACATTATGATCTGTCATACCGCAGTGGCCACAACGTTCTTTGCTACGGGAAAATTTATGTGTGTCCAAACTGAAGACATTTGGAACATTGGATGGGACTCCGTAAACTTGGAGAATTGTCAAAAAGTGACCTTGTAAATAGTTAGATGTTTGGGTAAGGACGGAGCCAAAAATTTCAATTCGACGAATGGCGAGGGGACAAGTTGGTTGTCTCGCTTAGAGTTTATTCTTCTGAAATAAATAACTTTGAGGTCAATTTTGAGGGGTAGAACCCCCCTCCCACCGGGGCCTGATTAAATATAACCAGAGTAAAATATATAAATAGTTAAACTATAATGTTTGTAAGATAAATAACCAATTACAAAAACTATTGAGCAACGGTGTATACAAGCGCAACTGAAAAAGTTGAAAATTTAAAATCGAAAACCTTAACACAAAAATATTTTAAACTACGGCTACCGTTTGCACGTAGAAGATAAGTCGTTGAGACATTTTTTTTTTTTAATTTATAGTACGTTTTAGAAGCTTTAATTTGACATATGTTTAAATGACGCAGTCTTTCCGGAACACTTTCAAAAGTTAAATTTTGTAAAAAAATTGTTATTTTGAATCTCCTCTTAAGAACAGGTAAAAGGTCAGATTTTCAAAAATATTACAACAAATAAAAGGGAATTTTTTAAGGTTACAATATATAAAAAATTATTTTTTGTTAATTTTTTAATAAGTAATGACAATTTTTAGAAAAAAAATGTGGAAATTTACCGATTTTAAAAAACGTCATTTTTTGGAGATTTTCACCATTTACAGGGAATGAGAGAATTTTTTTAATTTTTGAGGATAATTTCTTGAATCAGATACGATTTGTGATCTTTTGACGTATCGTTGAGAAAAATCGGTCCAGTGAGAGCTGAGTAAAAGTAGTGACAGACACAAAGATCTAGAACGGAGTGCTTTATCCTTTAGTCAATTCGAATAATTAGCATGCAAGCTGACTAGTCTCTGTTCTTTAGTCGGTAAAGAGAATAAGTAGCAGCTAGGCCGGTGAAGAATCACCCTTCAGTTCTTTACTTTTGATCTGAACCTTTCTAAAGACTACCGTAGGCTAGCCATAACAGCTTACTAAATTGATAGATTGGGCTGGTCAGTGATATTCCAATGGGAGGATTTGTGATGAGTCAGGAAACGCGGTTTGACGTAAAATATTGATAATTAAACTGTCTATGTGTATTTTTGTCATATAAAAGAGAAACTTACAAAATTAACTTTTAACTTGAATGTAAATATAATTCATAAATAACACTTAACAGCAATTTTAACCTAGTATAATGAGCCATAGAAAAATCAACCTCAATACTGAAAACATTAAATTCTAAAAACATACAATTGACTGGAGAAAAGTAACTTCAGTTATGTAGATACATTTGACAAAGAACCCGAAAAAAGATCATATTCAATTATAGATAAGTTATTAATACTGAATCAGTTTTCAATAAATTCGATGCTAGTGAATAATAGAAAATTGTATACAATTCAAACATTTATTGGACTTGTGGTATTACATTTAAAATATAATATAAATTATATCATTGAACACAATAAATAAACAAAGTAATTTTTATTAATTTTTTTATGTATCATTTTGAAGAACATTTTTAATTATCCGTAATGTGTAATGTGCGTGTGTAAATTTTATGTTATGTGATAATGATTGTTGATTTTATGTGTAATGAAGTGGGCCATTTAAAATTTTTTTTTATATTAGGCGACTTAAAATCGTTCAATGAAAAATTGAACGCTCCTCGAATTAGATCTATCATTTTTTTTCGTAAATACAAGGAAAATTGAGTAATCCTGAAAAAATCAAACAAATCTATCAAGTAATGTAAGATAATAGAAAAATAACGACAATTAAAAAATATTAATCAATACAACATACAATTATTATTGTTTTCGTCACCGCATGAACAATAATGATTTACTGATGTCGCCAAAACCGGTTTTCAATGTCAAGTGAGTAACGTAATCCAATAGGTGCAATACTATACAGCGTAAATTATTGAAAAAATATAAGAAAATAGGTGTTTACAATTTCTGGAGTTTTGGTTGATCGTAGAAAGTGAACTTTGAAGGGTTATAACTTAATTCAAAAATGTATCAAATATCGCCCGAGTACGGATGTAGTCAATTTTGCCATGTTTAATATATCGATCATCTCTCCATGACCACCCAATCCTCCAGAATCTGATCGCTCAAAACATGTTTTGTTGCACCGAAAAAGAGTACTCTTAATCTAAATAATTACGAACAATAATATCTAAATTTATTGTTCAATATATGATACTACGCGTAGTTGTCGTAGATCCAGTCATAGATAATATGTCATAAATAATGGGATTGATTCTAACTACACAGTTGATCGCTTATCCAACAAAAAGTCTCACGTGAGTATTTTTATCTTTTTTTTAACGGTCGGCATAATTGTAAGCTGCCCTGGAAATGCCATTAGGCATTACTTCAGGGCGACACGCGAGTATTTGACCTATAATAATACGTGTTAAGTCTATTATTTGTATTAACTTAGTATTTATCTCTTACAAGAAAAAAAATAAATTATTATTTTATGTTATTTTTCGCAATTACAATAAATATTTTAAAAATTCATTTTTTTATTAACATTTTTATTGAAGATTTGAAGATAGCCATTTTATATATAAGTTTTAAAGAAAAATGTTTCCATGGTTAGGCAAAATTGATAACAATTATTAATTAGCCTGATTCTATCATTTATATCATAATACTATAAGAAATTCCTTATAGGGAGATTTGATAAGAAATGCTCTTATTCAATATAATGTTTATTATTATTTGTTATAATATTTCTTAGATAGCGTTTTTTATAATTTTTTTTAATAAATTTAATTTTACCACTACTTGTTTTTTCGTGTCAAATATAGACGCTTATTCAAGTGTTAATAATTTTCATTGAAAATAAATTACGTACCAGTAAATAATTGAAAAAGATAATGTTTACTTCCGCCCTTTACATCAATGAACTAACATTTAATACCATAGGATAATCGTAAAAAAATATAAATAAAAATTTAACCAACTTCAAAATGCTATATAAACGTAAATACTGAATTTAAATAAGTGTTTGTGGTATGAATAGTTTTCTTTAAAAGTTATCTATAAAATGGCTATTTTTAAATCTTAAAAAAATTAATTTTTAAATTATTTTAGCTAAAAAATTATTCAATATTATTATAAAGAACAATTCTGTTTATTTTTAATTAAATATAATATTTTTATTTAGTTATTTTTTTAAGATAATTAAAATATTACAAAATATACTTATACACCGCAAACATTCTTCTTCTTTCTCTTCTATTATGAATTCATCGTTTTTTATTTGAGACAACTTGACATTTTCAAAATATGAATGAAAGTTCAAAGGGAGTTTTCAAACGGAAATAGAAATTGAGAGGACATGTTAAAACAAAATCATGATAAATCGCGGAGTTGATGTGCGCTATGTGAAAGGATACGTGTATTTACCTATGTTTAATTTTAGGCGGCCGACGCCATTGATTAATGGATTTACATTAATGTAAACATCGCTCCCATGTACAAAATATAATATATTTGTAAATAGTAATAAAATTATTTTTGGTCAGAAAAGTAATTAAAATTATAATTATTAATATGGTCAAGAAAAATTATTCTAGAAATGTCGAGAATATTCGAGAAACTTCTATTTTAATCCATTACATTGCATAAAACTTTCATTTTTAAGTATATAAAAGACATCTTTTTTAATTTTGTATTAGATTACAATATTTTTTCTTGAAATATTTTTTCTAAACGACTTAAACGTTTAGATCATATGATTAAAAATTTCACATTTATAAAGGTTTTTTATCAATAACTCTTTGTGGCAGCACCATAATAAGGTTGGGTTTGATTTTATTGCATTTTTATATTGTAATTAAACTAAAGATAATAATTTGCTAAATAGGTAACAAAAGTGAACTTTTATTTTTACGTTATGTATTTGTTTGAATCTGTTTAATTTATATTTTAGAACACTGATTTTTTATCATATTTTTGATATTTTACGTGCATATTTAAGCATATATTCACAATATTTCTTCCATAAATATCCAAGCCTTAGTTATTAAATCTGTCAAAACATCGTGGTCGACCTTGTATTTATGTTGAGAACAATTTGGATAAAGAACTGGATTAAAGAATGTATAGAATAGAGCGAAATAGTTTTACAAATTAAAAAATAAAAATATGATGAAAGAAAAATAACAACTTGTATTAATATTGACATAGACGGAGTGCCACAAAATAATGTTGTCTTAAAGAAGCAAACATATTCTTCTAGAACTATTCAACAATAAAACTAAATCGCTTATATAAAAAAACACTTAAGTAAAATAATTATTTTGATTGTATACATTTTATAAACCTTAACAAATTGATAACCTTTATTTATCATCGATATCTATAAAAATAGAAATATCTCTTACCTTAAGTAATTACTAATATTTGATTTTTGTATCACATCCTAACATTAATATATCATTAATTTTTTATGACTTTATAATTAGAAATAATATGTATAGGCATATACTGTACGAGTTACGACTATAAGATAAATATAATTTAACATCATGTTAAGCATAACTACTACTTATATTACACTATTTGTGTAATATCAATTATAATATTTAAAATTTATGAAAATTGTCTACTAGTTGTGTGTTAATTTAAAATCAGTTTTCGTTGATGTTTTAACGAGATGAAACAATAATATGAAATAAAATAAATAAATAATATTTTATTTTATATTATAATTTAAAACGACACATTGTTTTTTCTCCTCTCATATTACTAAAAAATCCAATTTATCTGTCGAAGCTTATTTTTACATGGCTTCAGTACAAATCATTGTATATATATATATATATATACATAATGAGTCATAAATATATGACGAACCAATAACTTTTGATCAATGGTGTTTTGAGGGGTATACGCGGGTTACGGAGTATACTCATTAACAACTTTTTTAATTAAATATAAAACAAAAATGAGATTATAGCTAAATCAACATTGTTTTTGGTTGGGTAAATATTTTACGTTACTCTTCTTTTAATTCTTGCCAGACTTTTAATCTATAATTTCAATATAATAAATTATATTATTTTAACTTGGGTAAAAAAATAAATTATTTTAAATAATTCATAAAATATTTATTTCAACTTAAGCTTTTAAAAAAAATATCGACGAATATTTAATTTTTAATTCAATAACATCAATTATTCAGTTTCAACCAAAATTATGTTACTGGACTAATTTCAATTCAATCTGTATTAATTTTATTCAGTAAAACTAACTATTTTAGCGATAATAAGTTTTTAACAAATACAAAGTAAGAAAAATATGTATAAATAGTAATAAAAATGTATTATTTGAGCAAGAATTTTCGATATTTTATGTTAAAATTTCACTACTAGGTGGGGTAATTCTGTACACTTTTTTTTTTTTAATTATATCGTTTTAAAATTATTTGTATAATTATCCTTGCACAAATGTACTGGGGAAAATATGAAATCGCATTTAAATAAATTATAATAATAATTAAAATGTTAAAATATAGAGAATAGCAAGTGTAGTTATTAGTAGATTTGAAATCAATCGCACGAAAAAATCAGTATTTAATCATGTACCAAACTATATCAAGTTTTTACAATCCAATAATAAAAGATTACTCTATTTTAACAGACTACAAGCATATAAATTTAAACAGTTGTAAGATGACTGATAACGCTTTGATGAAATTTATTCTAGTAAATAATCGTTAATGTTATCATGTCCAAATTTGTAGCGGACACACTTATCTCATTTCACCTTATACTAATAATATATTGTATGGAAATTTTTGGATCATTTCTTACAACCCCAGGTTTAATAGACGCAGACGTTCTATATAATTTTCAAAAATTCAAGTTTGCATTTAGTTTAAATATTAGGTCTGCTTAAATTTTCATTAATGACCATTATTGGGCTTTTGTTTAGAAATAATCGCTAAATTAGTAAAAAAAAGGAGAGAAACAGGAGTGCTAATTTAAAATTTAGGTTATTTAGAAACCCCTAATATCCCCAAATGTGTTGATAATTGTTCCTTTAACTTTATTATATACGATTTCACCTTAATATTTTCACTCCCTCCTTTAGGTAATTTATGAACACCACTGTTGTTTCGAGCTTAGTGGCTATTACTTCATATTTGTTCGCGTAGAAGTAGCTCAACAACTCACTTAGCTGTTTGTCGTAGGCCTTATAAGACCGTCTAATTATGCGCGAATTATTGATTGACTATCTTTTATCATTAACGTATGTTTGTTTCGCTGTACTGTTAACTTTTATTATATGCTATTTAATTTCTATTACAATTAATCAAGTAAGAATTCATTTAAAATTTTAAAATATGAATTATGAATATGTAACTATTATTTTCAATATAGCTTACTAATACACAAATACAAATATAATATAAATAGTTCTTTATTTTTATATTTTATTCACTCATGATTAATTAATAATATCTAATTAAAAATATTTTAATTAGTCATTTGAGAGGTAAATATTCTCTGAATTACTTTTGAACTTCAAAGGATATCTTCAAACTTATTATTAAGTTCAACTTTCTTTATTGAAAGTTGACTATCACATATAACTTAGAAGTCCAAAAACTAGGTAATTGTTATAATAGTGAAATAAATGTATTAATTATTTATTTATTTCAATTTAGGTATCTATAAAAATTGAGAAAAATTAAGCCATTATTGAACAATTATAAATCTAAAACTAGGAAAAATAACATTTACTTTATCATTTTTTTGTAAGAATTTAAATAATATATTTATAAAAATAAATAAATATTTTTACATTAATCAGTGAATTATAATATTACACTTTCAAAGCAAAATTTTATAACATGATATGTTTAACGCGGCCCAAAATTGTCTGTATTTATCATGTAGTATTGCTGACATTCCTCTTGTTATAATATTAGTCATTCATTAATTACCTACAGTGTTGAACTAGAATACTGGGAAATAATATAATTTATCAATTGTAAAATATTTTTTATACTTATCCCTTATAAGGTATAAGGGTGTCAACTGTATTTGTTTAAATGGAAACATACATAATTAGCTAGCTTATTTATAGATAATGATCTAATTAAGAAAATTAATGTGCGATATCAACTTCTAGACTAGTATTTCAAAAGTTATTTATAATTTAAAGTAATATCTAAAGGTAAGGCGCTTGTGTTGCAACTTTTACAATTACACATTTCTAGATCTCACTCTGCCTCCCGCTAAAGTATACACTAGTATTTAAAACGTTTTTATCACTTTTATACTAGAGCGAAAATAGTAGTGGATGTTTTAATTTATCTCCGGTATTTATAATTTTTGTTTATCAATCATCAGTATTATCATTTTTTTATAAGTGTAGTTTGCAATAGATGTTTCAGACTCAGTAAATGAATCAAATATTTTGGAAAGAGGAGGTGATTAAACAATGTGTTAAAGAGAGCAATCTGATCCAAAATTATGACAAAGTTTTCAAGCCCTCCTATGATGCAATCATTAATTTACATAGTATTACCATTTGACGAGTTCTACACCGACAGTCGCGCCAATTTGTATATAAATGTGCTGCGAGCGCAATAAATTTATAAGATGAGTGGTATAAAGAAAAAACATACTTATCTTATTGAATGTCCATAATTTTTTCAAAAAGATATCTATATAATAAGTAATGAACACAAGGACACGAAAATTTTTTTATCAAGCAATTCATTTAAAATTTAATATGGCGCCATTGCTAATTATGTAGTTTATGATTAAGGAAGTGAACTGAATGGAAAAATATATGATAAAAATTATACGGTAANAAGATAGAGTGGTAAAGGTGCATCAAGGTATGTCATTACAGAACTAGTCATTTCAGGTGAATGTATATTCGGATGAGGTTTGAAAGTGTCAGCTAGATGTTCTTTGAATAACTCTGCCTTTTCCAAGTCAGAGATAGCTAGACTTCCGTTATTTTTTTTAATTGGGAGATTAGTTGTTTTATATCTAAGAGCTTGTTTGGTAGCTCTCCACAGGCTACCATCCTTAGATGTTAGGCTACATAAGTAATTTTTATAGGAGTTAGTTTTGTGTTGAGCAAGCATTTTTTTGAGTTTATTTGCTAACTTATTATATAAGTGTTTATGTGACGGAAGTCTGGTGCGTTGGAACAAAGCTCTAGCTCTACGTTTATCAGAAATTAATTTTCTTATTAGCTCTGGTAAAACAACTGTTTTGTTTTGGCAAGGAGTTTTATCTTGAGAATGCATTAGTTAGATGATAATAATAAGACATTTTATTTTCATTAAAATTTTAAGTTTATTTTTTATACAATTAAACAATGATGCATTTTTACATAAAATTTGCATTCGCATTTTCATAAAAAATAAATTAATTCACATTTATAATTTTTAACATAAAAATTGAATGACAACATGAAATCAATCATTAAAAAATGAATGCATGCATTCCTATCTCTAGAAATATTGGTTTATTGACTAGCCATTTCCTATTTTATAGTATTCCTAATTCATATTTTGGATTAGTTAAATGTATACAAGATTTTATAATTTTATAATTCCATCAAATTTTTTGATAATAGGTGTTAAAAAATGTCAGTTTCAAAAATAGAAATACAGAATGATTGATTTAACGTTGACCACTAAATTCCATATAAAATAACAATAATTTTGAAAATTTGTTCATTCTTTAGTATTATTTATTTCACAATCGGTAAATATTTTTTTGGTCTATCTCTTATAAGTATATCAACCTTATTTATTTAAATGTTAATTATGTATGTTTTTCAAACATATTACATACAAATCTGTTATTTAACGTTAAATCACTCTGTATAGCGTATATTTTTATATACTTATGAAAATTTCATAAGTATTTATTTAATAAGGTCAGGGCTCGAAGTTAAAAGTATGGGGATGTTAATGATAGAATCATTTTGGTCAATTAAATAATTATTTTAAAATTTCGCGACTAAAAGTAAAAACTATAACCATTATGAAGGAAGGAGTGACATACTACATGCACTTTTAAGATGACATTAAGCGAGGCTTAATACATAATAGGTTGACTGTAGGAAATTGGGCATAACACTTTAAAGTTCTTCTTAGAATTTGCAGTATTACTTTTTAAAATTATTTATCCAATTTAGTTTATAAATATATCTATGTTGATACAATAAGTGAGAAAATGTACAATATGAAAACGTTAATTTAATTTAAAATAGAGTATTTCTAATATGATAAATCCTCATCTAAATTATTATGTTTATTCTACAAATACTTAATAACGAATTTTATACATTAGTTATTAATATTTGCAAAAATATTATTTCATTATTACAAATATTTAAATTTAATGAATTATTTGATGTACATGCTCATTATGGTAATGATTAATATTTATCTTGAATATTTTATCTTTAAACGATTTACTATGAGGGTCAGTGTTAAAAAATGTAGTTATAATATAAAGAAAGCCAAAAACTATGAAAAAATTTTAAATTAAGAGATTATTATACAATTTCAATAAGTCAAAAATTAAAAATATGTATTCTATCTCACATTTTTTCTTGTGACATCAGAAAAAATTAAGAACCGCATTGTGTAGCAATTTATTTATTTATTTTTGTTACATCTAAACATAACAGATGCATTAATGTATCAAAATATAAATATAAATGTAATTAGTTATTTTTTGAGCGGGTTATCAAAAATTTTAATGGCTGTATATTTCAGTACTATGCTTTATATGACCACATGGCATGTTATTTTTCATACTTAAATGGTAGATGTTTCTTAATATGATTAAAATAAAAAAATTAATTTTTGAAAAAAATAAATGTGCTTTATGCGGTTTTTAATTTGGAGATTTGCAATGCACACATATACTGTAATTCGATTTTTTATGTGGCCTACCTAACTCAGTCGCTAATGCGTCATGCCTCAGTGTGTAGTTCAGATATTCGATGATGTCGATGGATTATATACGTTTTCACATCCTCTTACATAAGCATTAACATTTAAAAAGGAAACATTTACTATTTTAATTTTAACAAAACATTGTAAAAAATTAAAATGCAATAAGTTATTCATAAATATTTGCTTATAATTTAAATGTATAGATAAGATTAAATTATTAACCACACATAATTTTCTAATGAAACCTATTTAATAAATATTGATTTCATTGANTTAAATTATTAACCACACATAATTTTCTAATGAAACCTATTTAATAAATATTGATTTCAAATATTTATTTCTTAATATACCATAAAAGTGTAGTAAATATACTACTACTTATATTTTAATTTTTATAATGCACAAATAATTCTACTTCGACTAAAATAATTTATTTTGTCATTTTAGCCATTTTCTAACTTATACCTTGGAGATGGGGAATTTAAACAATTTTTAATTAAAAATGTATCAACTGTTAAGGAAACTTATATTCCTTCTATTTGTGGTTTCAATGGATATGTCCAAACAGTTTTGGCTATGTATTTTAGAAATATGACAATACCTAAAATTAATTACAAAAGGTAAAATATTGAAGGGTTTGGCAAATTTATTTTTTACTTTTAAATTCAAATAAAATATTATAAAAGAAAACAATACATTTAATACAGAGACATCCTGACTCTCAAAGATGGCGGACAAGTAGCAGTAGATTGGAAAAATCCAAAAGATGAAAATAATGAACAAAATACAATAGTAACTGCACTTATTTTATGTGGAATAACAGGTAATAGCCAAACCGAATATGTTAGAGAAACTGTAAACGAACTTTGGCGTTTTGGTTACCGTCCGGTTGTATTCAATTATAGAGGTCGAGGAGGTATAAAGCTTAAAGTAAGATATTTTATCAATTTATCATTTATTATTTTAAAAGTTGACAACTATAAATACATATATTTTTAATTTCACAGAGTTTTAATAAATTATAATTGATTTAGTAAGAAAAATCAATATTATGAATTTCCCAACTTGTTAAGTTGTAGTAGTTGACTAGTTACATTACTATATCAACATATATATATTTTATCTAGTTCCATTTTCTGTTACACATTATATACATAAACATTTTTTTATTTTAATATTTCATTATTTTAAGAAAATATTTTATTTTTCTAGACACGTCGTGTATACTCCGCTATCGACACTGAAGATCTCATTGAAGTGCTCGAGCATATTAAATCAAAATGGCCAAACAGTCCAATTATTGGCATTGGATTCTCGATGGGAGGGTAAACAAATTTCATTATTGGTAAACTGTATTTATCAAATAATCATTTGTACTTTCTTTAAAAAAAAATATTTAGAATTTTATTGGGTACGTTTTTAACATCACAAAAACAAACTGAAAATCAATATTTTATAACAGGTATTTTAATATCTGTACCATGGAATATCCTTAAAGCTAATTTGTACATTGAAGATTCATGGTTTATGCGTAAAATGGGAAAACATTTATCGTTTCATCTTCGTAATGTTGTAACTGAGTAAGTTCACAAATAATTAATACTCAAAATAGAAAAGAATATGAACATTTGTTTAAATTTATAAAAATAACTATGTCGTATATACAGAATAATTTTTATTGCAGAAAATTTGATGAAACTTATTTTATGCATTTCATTAATTATTTATTACTATGATTATACAACTATTTGATATTCTACAAATATTTGAATTAAAATAATTGATTATGCTAATAGAAAAATATATAATTAATATTTTTGTGAATAATTTTACAAGAAATCAATTTTAATGACGGTAAATTAATTTTTTAATTAAAATTATTCGTCATAGTTGTAAAATTCTCAATGAATAATTTTTTTTAATTGATTTTAATAAAAATATTTAGAAGTTTTTTAACAATTTTACTCTTGAAAAATGATTGTTTCAATATAAGTTATTAAATTTAAAACTATTTCAGCATAATTAATCAATAACAATATGATAATTATATTAATTATTAATTCGTAATTATTATGAATTAATATTATTTCGTTGAAGATTGAATAAATAAATAAAAACTTGTAAATACGTTTTCATATTTAGAAACAAAGATATCATTTTTGAAGAAAATAATGACTTAGAATTGAGTTATAAGAAAATTAGTCAGGTATCTAATTTTAAAATACACCATTACTAAACATATTAATTTTTAACTTAATTAACATCCTCAAATACATTTTATAAATTAGTATTTATTTTCCTTATAGTGTAGTTCAATAAGACAATTCGATACTGAGTTCACAGTAAAGATTTTTAATTACTCAGATGTTTTTGATTACTATAAAGACGCTTCACTCTACAATAAATTACACTTAATTAAAGTTCCTTGTCTTTGTCTAAGTGCAGCTGATGATCCTTTTTCATATATGCCAGGTTAAATCAAAATATGATAAATAATTGTAAAAATTAAAATATATATTATTTTATTTTACAGATATACCTACCCAAAAAGCAAGTCAACTTAACAATGTAGCTATTTTGGTAACTTCAGGAGGGGGCCACGTTGGATACTTAGATACGTTTTGGCCATTTCGTAACAATAATTTTATGTTGAAATTAATTTTACAATACATTAATTCTATAACTATAAATATTAGTTATAATATGTTTAATAAACAAATTTAGATTCATTATACAAATTGTCAAGAAAACAATTTTCTAGGTAATTGTGTTAAATTTGTTACTATGGTTCATTAATAGCATTACAATTTTATTAGAAACTATATTAAAGCAACAAATCGGATGATTAAAAGCTTTTTCCTAATGACTGTCACTGAAAAAAATGGTTCTTATTATTAGATATATAAAACTATTCCTAATCATTAATTTGATTTTTTTATTAATACCCATTCAGGCGTTCCAAAATCTTTTTTTAATGTATTGCTTTCTTATGTCATTGAATTAATAATTCAAGAATTACCTAGCCATGAGGTATAGTTTAAGTTTGAACAATTTTAATAAATTTGAGTTGAAACCTTAATGAAATTTTTAAGGTTCAAATAAAAATAGAATAATTTAACGAAAATTTAATTTGTATTTGAATTTAAAGAGGGACAGTGTGTCCAGATTCAGCAATGCCTAGAGCACATTGTCAAAGGTCCGAAATCCCATCATGGGCGATTCCGTTTATTGAACAAGAGGTCATCTCAGTAATTGGAGTCGCCATTCCTTTCTCCGGCGACAGACTATTCATCCGTCTCAGAGTATATAATATTAAGTTACAACTTCTTTGGATAGGTTAAAAGCCCTTAATAAACTATAAAAACATTGAATTTTTAATTTTAATATTGAGTTAAAGTATAAAAGACATTATTGAAATATATATTTATATTATCTTATATCACGAAATAAATAATATAATTGATGCGCTTAATTACTTTACTTCTACTAAAACTTGTCGGAATTTTTAAATAATTATTATACAGTTTATAAATTAAATTACTTTATTTTTTTTTTACTATCTTTTAAAGCTCAATTAATCTTTGTTATAAATAATAATTATACCAATGTACGCATGTTTTTCTATCATTAAGTCTTTATTTTACATTTTATTATTATAATAAAGAATAATTTATGTTCATATGTTTTTGAGTTAATGTTTGCTTTTCAATATAACATTCAAAAAGTTCTCTTACGTTAATAATATACACAATTGAATAAAGTCATAATATTATATATCTTCAAATTTACAATACGACAATTATAATTAATTTTAAGGATGAGATGCTTTTATATACAAATTTATAAATCCTATTGTGCATTTAAAGTTACATTAAGCACTAGGTGACCATTAGAATTTGATTCAGAAAGGCATAGCTTATAACTTAGAAGTGACAATAGTGAAATCAAGGGTGTGTTCTCGGAACGATGTTAGGAGTTGAAAAAACCTGTGATAAAGTATGTGTTTTAGATAAAAATTGAAACATTTCTTTTGGAATAATGTTCACTGGAAAATTCTTATAAATTCCTAGTAGGAAATTCAAATATTACAAATGTTTAATAAAATGGAAGGTATCCAAATCAGTGCTCTTCGCCAGGATCAATCATTACACTGTTTAGAAATTATATAGATTTAACATTTTCATATTAGTGTGCTTAGTGTACTAGAACTTAATCATGGCATCGGGATGTCATTTCGGCTGTCTCGATGCATTGTCATCGTTGTGGTATAGTCCAACGAATAGATGTCTACAGTATACAATCCATTATACAGAATTTTAAGTAAGTAAGAAACAGATCTATTGTTATAGACAATTAGAACAATAGAAACCCGTTTGCTTACTTACTGAACATCCTCCTATATATATATATGCGTGTGTGTGTCATGGTGGCTTTTGGGTATTTTCTTAAATAAACGTGCTCTTAGTGAAACTATAATGTCACAATAAAGTATTGGACGCCAAACTATACAAATAACGTGTTATCTATAGGAATGCGATAATCCACTGGACATATGATTGCATACATTAGTTCTTATAACATCTGGTTCTGAATGTATATGTTGTATAAAATACCAATACAGTATAAAGATATTATTTGTGTGATTCATTGTAGGGGGATACTTTATGAACTCTTGATATGAAATTTTAATCTTATCAATTTTCAATAAAGTACTACGGATTTAGTAGAAACTTAATTTGGAATTTTATCAAAATACGTTTTATACTAAGATAAGCTAAAGAGGATGAGCATTCAACTTTTCTGATACGAAAATAATCACTTGTTTAATATACAATTTGGGGTATATGGAAAAAAACTTTTTTATATAGACCCATAAAATGATAATACCTTGACAGCTATATCAAATATATTTTTAAATACTAGACATATATTAGACCGATTTTTTTTAGGGCTGTAAGCAATACTTATGTGTAGAGAGACATCTACATGCATTTCCATTTTTTTAACCTTAATATTTTACATTTATACTATCATGGTAGTTCTGCTAAACATTAAACCTAAAGCCAAGAGGTACAAACAAACGTTTGTATATTTGTGTAATGAAGATATTCAATATTTTTCTAGAATATTTTACAAGTCGCGTCAGACCCAGTCAAAGATACCTTTAAACTGAATATATTAAAAAAATTGCTCAGTTATGTTAACTAAAATTATAATTTGTAATAAAATTTAGTTTAGGTAAAAAAATTATCACTGGTAAATAAATGTACATTTTATTATTAACCATGAAAATATTATATATTTAAAAACAATTTAATTATATATTTATTTATAATAATTAATAGCTAAGTACTTTTTTTAATTACGGAACACTCTAATTACAAATTGATTTATCTATTTATTTTTGGTAATTGTCGAGAACTGATACGTTTAACAAGCTATCTGTTACGTCATAATAATTGAAAATATTTTATTATATTATATAAATTTACTTATTCTAAAATTGGAACAATATTACTTACTTTTTTTTGAACCTCCTGCACCAATGGTTTGATATCCTCCTATGTTATAATAGTTAAATTATTAAAATAGATCAATTTACTGTAGCTACTGAATGCGATATGAGGATGGCTGATGTGAGCGTAGAAGATAATGTGAGAGATCGTGTGCAAGTTTATGATAAGAGTGACCGACTCTGAGTTATTGGTATTAAAGCGAGGCAAAAGAAGAAGAGATTAATTTACTGTAATATAATATAACGCATGCTATATATATATTTACATCAAAATTAAATATATTTTCTCGTTATAAATTGTGATATAAATTTAATAAAATTTTTAATAATACAACATTGAAAATTTATTGGAACCTATAAAAAAGTTCAATAGTTGGAAGAGGCTTAATCAAGTACCTATTTTTGTGTTTTACAATGCACTATGTGCAAAGAAAATCAACAGTGTTTAGTACAATATTTAAATTGTTGATATTTAAAGAGTCTTGTCGGTCTAACAATATTGTTCACTATTCTTTTAACTGCATCGAAATATCTCCTTCTTAATTGTTTAATAATTATATATTTTAAGAAAATTTTCTGTGATCACCTTTTAACCATCCACCTTGGGTTTCTGTATCCTTTACAATTTCTTCTTCGAAATTTGATTGGAAATTTTCGTCTGTGATATTAAAAAAATGTTGTTATAATAAAACTATTGAAAAAATTGTAAAATTAAAAATTAAATTGTCAATCATATCATAATATTATTATGTTACCATAACGTAGTGAAATTCCTAATAAATATTTTTGATTAGGAATTCAAAAGAAAAAAGCTAAAAAACCCCAGAAGAGTGATGACGTGGCATAGTTGGGTCAAGTATAATGATATCTGACAGTGTTTAAAATCACTATCATAAAAGACACTTCGATGCAAATCTGTAAATAGTTTTTATTATAAAAAATTGGTGGATTATTCTAAAAGCTACATGATCCTTATTTATATCCTGATTACAAGTTTTATGATTTATAAGTGTAATATATGAATGTAAGTATTTCGAATGAAAAAAGAATATAAATAGTACTTATCTTTAAAAAAATATAATGATCTGTACATTTCTCAAAAAGTTTTAAATAAAGTTAAATTTTAAACAGATTAAAGCATTATAAAATTAAAATATAAAATAGTATTTTTTAATATTAACTTTGATATCCATTTTCACTATAAAAACAAAATAAACTCCGAAATTTTTATTTTTCATAATAAATTATATTACATAAGCTTTAATTTAAGATATATATATATATGTCAGACTTTCCAAAACACTTTCAAATGTTAATTTTTTGTGAAAAAATTGTCATTTTAAATCTCCCCTGTGGGCAGGTAAAGGGTCAGATTTATAAAAAAAATATACTTAATGATAGGTAAAGACATTTACCTATCAAAATTATATTGATTTGGTCATTTTTAAAAAATGTATGGTAGTTTTAAGTAAAAAAAATTATCGATTTTTAAATTTATAATTTTTGGAAATTTTTTCAATTTTTGAGGATGATGTCTTGAATCGGATATGATTTTTGATCTTTTGACGTATCGTTAAAAGAAATCGGTTCGGTGACAGCTGAACAAAAGTGGTAACTGACACAAAAAAAAATTAATAAAAAAACATCATCATAGTAAAATTAATACCTTCTCAGCTTCGCATCGAAGCTAAAAAATTCAAATTTTCTTTATCATTTGAAACTATAAATAATTGAACTATAATCAATCTTGAAAATTACATAGGAAATACAACCTTTTCTTTTTACAACAAACCACTGGAAATAATAGGGAGGTAGGAGGCTTATTCCCCTAAATTTTCATTTTTCCTTAAATATCCTACAAATACTGTTACCTACAAATTATGCGATTTCGAACATATAAAATATTTTTAAAAATAAGATTATAAAAATTAGAATGTAACTTCACAAATCCGATGGTGGACCGTTTACAACTTTTTTTGTTATGTCTACTTATTTATTTTATCGTATATGAACCTTTTTCTGACACAGCGGTGTCAACAACTCATTATTTTTGCTGCTGACCGCTAGATAAGGCGATAAAAGAGAAAAATATAATTATTATCGAATGGTTTATTGGTATTGATCCCTTCTAAAAAGACTGGCCGTTATTGATTTGAAATTTCCGTTCGATCGGTGTTGGCTCTTCTCCATCCTTTTTATGTCATTGACCGTGCTAGATGGCACACGTTAGTTGTTTTCTTGTATCCATTTTTTCAATGATGGAGTAGAGCCGCCAACGGCGAACGGCCAGGTCTTATCGGTGAAGCATCCAGATCATTAGATGGGTCTCTTTGAAGACCGGGTATCGTTTTCTTTTATATATTATATTTATGTAATGAGCTGTGTTTTATTAATTATTTTATTTTATTATAAATTAACTTAATTTTACTTATGTGTACAAAGCACGTGTTTCCTTTCTCTTCTAGCCAACTCTGTTGTTTTGCATTAATTTCCGATGATGTTTGTTCTAGTAATTGATTTTCTTTAAATATTTCATTTTATTTTTGTTGTCTGCCTTTCTTTGTAGACATGGTTTTTTATACATTCGTATTTTTGTCCATTTTTAACTTAATTTTCCTCTTTTTTAACAATTAAATTAAATTTCCTTATTAATTTTAATTGTAATATTAATTTTATTGCGCGAGTAATAGTACTCGCGTATATTTTTATCCCTGTTCNTTTATTGCGCGAGTAATAGTACTCGCATATATTTTTATCCCTGTTCCTGTGGCGACCCTTAGTACAATAGCTAGTCGTTATGCAAGTGGCAATCCACGTTGTTGTTGCAGGCCGACAAAAAGCCCACTTGCAAGAATTGATTTTTCTAAAATTATTATAAATATACTGTGACTCAGACTTAATTAACAACGCTTATAACTTTTGATACAATAATCAGTTTGTTGAATTTTTTTGTTAATAACTATAAACGTATTTTAATTATTTAAATTAGAAACTCTAAAAATTTAAGGGCTAATGAAATTTTTTATGGGGGCTAAGTTCCCTACTAGCCTATTTTTGAGTTAAATATTTTTTATTTTAAAATTAATGTT